GCGGCAGGCTTGGGTTTTGCCCTGCCGTGAGATAGTGTGAAGAGGCTGGGAAGGGCACCCCGGTGTCTTGGGGGGTGCTGAGGTGATTTATTGCTTCCTTAACCCTCTCCTTGAAAACGTCTGGCGGTCCTGGTAGGACATGCATGTCATCCCAGCCCTGGAAGGCTGAGGCAGGAGGATCCCCAGGAGTTCAGATCAAGCCTGGACTACATAGGGAGATCCTGCCTCAAAAAAAAAAGTGATATTTAGGAAGTGAATGAAGTACTGCAGGCGCATACGAAGCAGAAAGTGTCTCTTTGGCCTGAAGCAGGGCAGAAGGGGAAACGTCATCACCTTAAAACAGGCCAGGCTGGCCGGGTGTGGTGGCGCACGCCTGTAATCCCAGCACTTGGGAGGCTGAAGCAGGAGGATCACTGAGTTCGGGACCAGCCTGGGCTACACAGTGAGTTCCAGGTCAGTCTCAACTACAATGAGACCCTGTCTCAAAGAAAAAAAAAAAAAACAGGCCAGGCTGGAAGCCCAGCTCTGTCCCCTGAGGCAGTTTATTGTGGTTAGGTTTAGAGCTGGTTGCCCTCAAAGCCTTTCCCTCAAAACTGGAGTCTGGAAGGGGGCTGAATCGCGGAGCTTGTACTGACCTACTGTTCGTGGGTCTGGCTGGGGAAAGGTTTTCCATCCCCTCCCTGGCCCTCTGCTTCCCGTGCCCCTGCGTGCAGTGAGCAGCTCTCCTCAGCCAGGCCCCTCCGCCCTGCCGTCCTGCCAGCCGAACATGGCCTGAAACCCCTACGAACTGCGCCAAGATAAACCCGTCTTCCTTTCAGTCGCGGGTCTGGCTACTGGGTCTTAGGTCGAGCGCATGACAGGCACGTTCCGGTACCTGGCTGTGTGGCCCAGAAGCCTTCCGAGCCATCTGACGGGAGTGTGGGGCCGGGGAGAGGGAGCCTTCCTAGACCTCTGCAGTCAAACCCTAGTCTCTCCTGCGAGCCACGACAGCATAAGGCAAATGCATTAATAAGTGGACAGAAATGAGACTCCAGGAGAAACTGAGCTTCGGCCTGATCCTTGCTGCTCTGGGCGGCAAAGATCCCACACCCGAGCTCGCCTCACCTTCATGCAGAGCAACAGCAAAACAAGTAGCAATTCACTGTGACCCTAGAACGATGGGGAGCTATGCAGAGGAGACTTGGGTTCTCCCGGGTGTCTCCGGCTGTAGTCCTGCCCTGGAGCAGGGAGCAGGGATAGTAATAATAGGACAGCGGTAGCCTTTTTAGATGCTCTAATCACACAGCACGCTTCTCCTAATACCGCCCCTCAGTTGCCGCTCCCTGTACCTGCACACATCCGAGGAGCGCGACTTTCTTCTCCTGTAAGGTGATTCGTGGTCAGCGTCGGCTGAGGCCAGCGTCCGTGTCTGGCGGGGGCACTCCGGGCTGGTGCCCTCGATTGTCCTGGAGCAGAGTCTTGGCTGTGACCTAGGGCAAGAACACATATGCGGCCAGCGGCCACCAAGTGTCTGGGTCACCGAGTGCGACAAGCTGGTCTTCTGCGCTCTCTCCTTTATACTAAATTTTAGGCCTGTGTGGCACTGGTTCGGGCTTATCTATCTATTACACATCAGGCAGGGTTTACAGATGGTCAAGGGTATTCATCACTTCACACAGGAGGGTCTCACAAGTGCTTACAATATCAGGGAGCAACTCCTACACACACACTTAGACCCACTCTGCAGGGCCCTGCATGGGCTCTCCCCACTTAGCAGTCTTATTCAGTCATGGCCTCTGTCACGGCCTCAGGCTCAGTGACAGCTTTAGTGACAACCTCGGTGCTTGTTGTCATTGGAAAAGGATGTAAATAATATAGTGAATTTTACAATAACTGTTTGCTCTCCACAGGGACCTGTAGACAGGATAACTAGGCCCTAATCATGATTTAATTATGAAATGATTTTCCCCAAAATCGTACAGAATGGCTCCGACACAGGAAGAGTTCTGAAATTTTTGGAAATGCTGTCTGGAGAAGCCACAGAATTCTGCAAACAGAGCTTGGAGTTCCGTCTCTTTGGAACTTAAGACCAGAATGCTCAAAAAGCAGACGACCTAAAATACCAAGCTCAGGAGGTTTCTCTTGGGAGCAAGGACTCCATTGCCAGTTGGACTCCAGGCTGTCTTTGTTACTCTTGACATAAAATTTGTCCACACTGTGCTCCTGTCCAGAGATTACAGGAAACTGGGATTAAGGGCAGCCAACAATTTATGATGGAGAAAATTCCAAGGTAGCCCAATGTTCAGTCTGTGTCATGGGTACTGTTGGAGGCTTTCAGCCAAGTTTAAACTGACAATCGAGAAAAAAAAATCTATTTTGAAAGTTTTGAATTGCCATTAAAAAAAAAAAAAAAACTGCCCAAAAAGATGGAGCAGAAGAGAGCTTCGTTGCTGAAATTAGCACAGTTCCCTGTTCCCCAGGGCAGCCTGTTGCATTCTCCACTGCCTTAGAAGAGGATTTGGAAATACTGGGTATCAAGTACAGATGGAGTCCAGTGCTACACTGGTCCTAAAACCCCTGCAGTGACGCAGGCCTGTAATCCCAGCAGTCTGAGGCAAGAGGGTCACAAGTTTGAGCCCAGCTGGGTAAGTTGGTGAAATGTTGTCTAAAAAACAAATGAACAAAGATGTTAAGTTGGGTTGCAGCCATCCTGTAGCAAGAGCCCTTGTGACTTCCACTCTGTAAAATGAAGCCTGCAAAAGCGCTTCCTATACTCACAACCTGCACTCCACGGAATTCCTGGTTGGAGTTTTTAAAAATGTGTAATTAGTACATGTTTGTGCTACATAGTAACCCCGACAGTGGGGGAGCGCCATCCCCTGTCCTTTCTGCAGAGTTTACCTCCCTTTCTTTCTTTGTTTTCTTTTTATTTGGGATTGTTTGTTTTTGAGAGAGTCTTGCTATGTAGTTCCAGCTAGCCTTGAGCTCAAGATGGACCCCCAGCGGGCCTCAAGCTCCTGCGATCCTCCTGCCTCAGCGTCCTGAGTGCTGGGATCACAGGTGTGTGCCACCACACCCCCTACCTCCATTTCTTCCCTTTTCTCTTGAATTTTGCTCTGTAAATTATTTACTTTCGGGGCCTCTCACGTTCAGGAGCCACGCAGTATTTCATCTTCTGTGATCCTTTGTTTGTTTGTGAATGAACTTCATTGAGGTAGGAATTGAGTACAGGAAGCTGCACCCATGTAAAGTGCAGTTCTTACCTTAGTAGTTATTTAGTGAGTTAGTTGTGATGCTGGGAATTGGACTCGCCTATACTATCGTCTACATTATCAATTTTTAAATTTTTTTATTTTTATTTTTTGAGCCAAGGTCCAGGTAAGTCGCCACATTTCTCAGCCTGGACTCAAACGTGTGATCTCCTGCCTCAACCTCCCCGAGTGCCAGCATCCTGAGCCTGTACCTGGCTGGGCTCGATGTCCCCACAGTGCACGCGCTGGAGAACCTGCCACTACGACCGCCACCAAGACGCAGAGCTCTCTGCACTGCCCAACACTCCCAAGGCCCCCTTGGAAAAGCAGAAAGAATATTTTCAAAACATTACCCACTTCTGCTTACTTTCCTCTTTTTTTTCTAGCTTTTTAGTGACTTGACTGCTTAGGGTTTGTTTGTTTCCTTTGAGACAGGGTCTCGCCATAAAGTTCAGGCTGTCCTGAAACTCACAATGACAGCGATCCTCCTGCCTCAGCCCCCTGAGTCCTGGGATCACAGGCATGAGCCACCATGCCCGGCCATTTGTTTTGTTTGGTTCAGTCAGGATCTCACTGTGTAGCCCAGGCTGGCCTCAACCTCACAGCAATCTTCCTGCCTCAGCCTCCTGAGTGCTGGGGTGACAGGCACCCGGCAACGTGGGGCCTTACCATTCTTATGTAACCACGTCCAACTGCTTGTTTCCCCCAAACTCTCTTCAGCAGTAGTCCACAAACGCTGCCAGGTTTTCCCACATTCTGACCCTGTTTGAGGTAATTACAACCATTATCATGATCTCTAACCCACAGATCTTCAGACGTGGATTATAATTCCCGCACTTGGGAGGCTGAGGCAGGAGGACTGTTTTGAGTTCAAGGCCAGCCTGGGAGAGACTGTGTCTCAAAAAACAAAAGCAAAAAACCCAAAACCAAACAAAAGGCTGACACAGAGAACCTAGTAAAGACCTCAAAGAGGGCCACTGGTGGGCTGAAGAGCCTGGTCCCAGCCGAGAGGCAGAGTAACAAGAAAGAGCAGCGCTTAACCCAAGCCCGATGAGCTCCGCCAGGGGAGACTTGCAGGTCCCGGGAGCCTGTTTACTCACTGAAAATGAGAAGGGCATTTTCACAGCTGATTCACAGGGCTATTCTGAGGAACCCGTGTTTAGCACACACAGCACTTTCATTTTGGTGGCCTGGGGAATGGAACCCCATGGTTTCCCTGAGCTACATCCTCAGCCCTTTTTAAAGTTTTAAATCTTTTTTTGTTTTGTTTTATTTTTGTTTTTTTGAGTCACGGTCTCACTAGGTAGTTGAGACTGACCTGGATCTCACTATGTAGCCCAGGCTGGTCTCCAACTCACAGAGATCCTCCTGCCTCAGCCTCCCAAGTGCTGGGATTACAGGCATGGGCCACTGTTGTTTTCATCCACAAGCCTGCTCACGGAACAAGATTCAGGGGCCCAGACTGGGAGGGTTAAGCACAGAATCACCAGACAGACTCCACGAAGGCTTCTTGAACACCCGTTTTATCCAGGAAATGCACAGGCTTATATAGGCTGAGGTGGGGGTGGAGCCAAGGTGGCGCTACTGGATCGCTATTGGCTAGGGTACGGTAGGCGTGGAGTCAGGGTGGAGTCGGGATATTCGGCGCATCGTTATTGGCCACAGGTTAGTTTTTGGATTGCGTGCTTTAGGGGCTGAGGCAAATGCAGTCAGCATTTTAGAGGTTTTTGAGAGGAACAGTTTATCTGTCTAAGGTCAGATCTCTATACAACTGAGGGGGCGGATTATTCCAGCCCTAATAGGTCTCGGAGTTTTCTCATGAGAGATGGGTGCAGCTCTCCTGACTCAGCCCGACTTTACCCTGATTCTCGTGCCACCACGACCGGCTCTAATTTTAAAACATTAAAGCTATTCCCTCATCGGAGTACCAGGAAGAATGGCAGAAAGGGAATCATATGTAATAAAATACTGTATATTTGGAGCCTGGCGCGGGGTGCACGCCCATAACCCTAGCTTCTCAGGAGGCTGAGGCAGAAGGGTCCCAAAGGCCAGGCCAGGCTTGGTAACTCCGCAAGACTGTCTCAAAACCTAAAAAGGGGCCAGGCCTGGTGGCACACACCTGGCATCCCAGCACGCTGCGAGGCTGAGGCAGGAAGACTGCAAATTTGAGCCCAGCCTGGGAAGCCTAACTTGGCAAGTCCAGTTTCTTAAGAAAAAGCAAAACACAGCAGATACGCGGCTCAGCGTGAAGGCCCTGGGGTCAACCCCTGGTATGAATATTCATAAATAAGGGAAAGGGGCCCCGCGCTGACCCTGGCGGTAATGAAACAGCACCGAGCTCTTCAGCATTTACACGCTCAGCGTCCTACAGAGCAGCTGCCGCCAGATGTTCAGAGCTACTTACAAACACGAACAAGAAAATAAAGACGGACAGGAACGCCTGTGAGGAGACTCTTCTGGTAAGACTGGTGTGATGACCGTGGTTCTCTGAACGTTGCCGTCGCTTCTTGTTTACATTTGGCATCTTAAAAGCTACAAATAAAAAATGCATAAGAATTTTGCTAAATAGAGGCCGGCGTGGTGGCTCACACCTGTCATCTCAGCACCCGGGAGGCTGAGACAGGAGGATCACCATTAGAGGCCAGCCTGGGCTTCACAGCGAGACCCTGTCTCCAAAAGCAAAACACAAAACAAAACAAAGCTAGCCAGGTCATGCATTTCCTCTCCAAGCACACAGGCGCGCACCAGGCACTTGGAAAGGCGCCTGACGGCCGGAAGGTGCGCCGTCCCAGCCGGACCCCAGGCCCAGGTGCCTGGCACTTTGCGAGCGGGGACCGGCCTCGGTGTCGTTGCGCTCGCACTCGCTAGGTGGCAGCACAGGCCAAGGCACGGTGCGGAAAACGCCGCTGCAGGGAGGCTCGGGCCAGGCAGGGCTCCCCGGAGGGGCGGGGCGGGGAGGGGCTGCGCGTTTCCCGGCTTTTATTCCCCGCTCTGTAAAAACAGGAGGCCGCGCGCCTGCAATCTCCGCACTTGGGAGACTGAGGCAGGCAGTGGAGGCCAGCGTGGCCTATGCAGTCGGTTCAAAGTCAGCCTTGGCTTCCCAGCCAGACCCTGCCTCAAGTAAACAAATAGCAAATCAAAACAAGAGAAAGATGTAACAAAAATATTAAAAATGGCTGTGAATGATGAGGATCTGGAAATGCTTCTTTTTAATTTTCACTTTTTCTTTTTGCTGAGGCAGGGTCTCACTATGCAGTCTAGGCTGGCCTTGAACTTGTGGCAACCGCCCTGCCTCAGCCTCCCTAGCACTGGGACCACAGGTGAGCACAGGTGAGCGCGCCTCCAGCTTTTTCTGTCTCTATACTTTAGGGGCAGGTCCCTTCTCACCACATCCAGCAACGGAAGCATCCCGGCAGGATACTGCTAAACCAGACGTTTCTTGTGTTCACAGGGAAAGGATAAAAACCGTGGCAGCTAAAGAGTGGCGGCTTCCACGAATTGTTCAGGCGCCCGAACCCCCCATGAGGTGCGAACTCACAGGAGGCTGCAGCCCCAGCCCGGGGCCACGTGGGTCTCTGACTGGGGACAGCACTGGGCATGGACGGTGGCCGCACCCCCCCGCCTGCCTGGTCCGGGCCTGCAGCTCACGTCTCCTCCCTGGGTCTTGGCCTCCCGGACCCCGGCCCTCGGCCCCACCTCCGTGTAAGGAAGGCGCCGGTCAGGGCTGTGTGGCCGAGTGTCAGTGGGACGCAGGACCCGTGACAGAATGGGGCCCTGTGACCCATACGAGCACTAATCAAGAGCCGGGCATGCTGTACTCTGGAGGCCTGGACTACAGTGAGTTCAGGACCAGCCTGGACTACAGAGAAAGAGAGACCCTGTCCCAGAAAGAAGAGGCACCCGGGAGCTCGGGGCACGCAGCGGGGCCAGGCCTTTCCCCAGCATGCAGGAGGCTGGGGCAGGAAGAAGCTGCTTCCAGGTCGCATCAGAGGCTGACGCAGCAGCGGCACCAGATCCTCTGCCCAGAGCCCAGGAGTCCGCCCCGTCCTCGCCCACCTGCTGCTGAGCAGGAGCAGGGGTCACCCTGACTTGGGTCGGTCCCGTGGATCAAGGGACTTTTCACAAACCATGAACTTAACCAGTTCTGTTGCTGGAATGGAGCTGAATGGGGGGGGTTGCCTGCGATCTTCCTGCCTCAGCCTCCTGAATGCTGGGGTGACAAGTCAGTACCACCATACCTGCTCTGTGAGATTTTTATAGCTTGTGCAGAATGAAGCTTTCAGGATCGCATTTACCCAGAGCTGTGTCTGTCTTGCTCTGTATTTCTACCACCGCCTGCTTAAAAAGTTAAGTGGCTGAGGGGACCAGCCGTGGCCCTCCGGGCATTTGACATTTGAAAGGAAACTTCTTCCTCTACAATGAAGGCATTGATACAAGCTATGTAACATTGGTTCCTTTTCAAGGACTCTGTTTGTTAAGCTTATTTGTTCTTTAACCCTGCGATGGGAGGAACTGAAAGAGACAGCCAAAGATCTGGTGTTATCTGTAGGAGTCAGGAAATCCGGTTTTTGCATCAGAAAAGGTGGAGAAGGTTGCTTGGTGCTCCCTGTCGATGAGCCTTTCAGGAAAGCTGTTTCTGTAAAATAAACCAGGCTTCTCTTGGTCTCCACTCAGGCGGGAGTGTTCTTTCCTTTCTCAGTCCTCACTCCCCGACTCAGGCTTGTCCGTGATGTGACGGCTGGGCCGACACAAGTGGCGCCCGGACAGCAACCTGAGCATCGAGAGATCCGGTGAGGGACACCGTGGAGGAGGAGGAGGCGCAGCGAAAGGGTGAGGAGCCGTGAGTTTTCCGGTAAATGTTAAAAATGGGAGCTGGCGGCAGTCGCACGGCTTTTGTACGTATGTTTAAAAGTTTATTGAGTGTAGAGGGACCTGTGTCTTGTGATCGTAAAGCAAAGGGAAACTATCGGCTCGGCCGGAACCGCTGGGTCGTGAGGAGGCAGCTACTGCGTGTCACGAAGACCACGGCCGCCTGCGGTGACAGCAGCCCGTGCTGAGCTTCACAGAGAATTCCGCCAGAAGACAGGGTGGAAAGTTGGAAAAGCTGATGGAAAGCTGTCCCCACAGATGACCGCGCAGGGTTGGTAATAAACCCCCGAAGCCACGCCTAACTGTAACAGCAGGGCTCGATCCTTCTCCCGGTGACGGTGACAGTCGGTTAGACGAGGAGCCTCCTCTGGTTGCCTTGGCTTCGGGGCCTCCTGAAGGCCGGAAGCCCTTGAGGGTGAACTCCGGACTCCTCAAGTCTCCAGTTCAGCAGGGTTTACAACAAGCCCTTAAGGAGGGTGAGGATGCTCAGGATGCTCAGGGAAACCCCGTTCAACAACACGCCCCATCCCTTTTAAACAATTAAAAGAATTAAAAAGAAAGGGACCGACTGCCCCTTTCACGTTAGCCATGCTAGATTCTCTTGCAACCGAGGCCTGGCCGCCTTTCGATTGGAAACAGATTGCTAAGGCCTGCCTAGCGGGAGGAGTTATTTATTGTGGAAATCTGAATATGCTGAACAGTGTCAGAAAACAGCTGATCTGAATCGAGGTCAAGGTGGATGAGATGCCACTTTCGGTATGCTGGCAGGAGAAGGACATTACGTAGATGTTGCTCAACAGTCAATGTTCCCTCCTGGAGTTTATGCTCAAATTAATGCAGCTGCCAAAACGTCTTGGAGAAAATTACCATCCTCTGGACGGGCTACAGAGGATCTTTCTAAAATCAGACAAGGGCCCGATGAAACCTTCCAAATTTTTTCAGGTCGTTTGTTACAAACAGCTAGTAGAATAACTGGAGAATCAGAAGCAGGAATTATCTTAGTCAAACAGTTGGCTTACGAAAATGCTAACTCCGCTGGTCAGGCCGCCCTTCTTCCTTTCAGAAAGAAGGCTGGTTTATCAGATGATGTTCGCTTGTGTGCTGATACAGGTCCCTTTTACACTCAGGGCCTTGCCATGGCCGCAGCTGTGCAAGGAAAAACTGTAAAAAGGTCTTATTTCAACACCATAGAAGGGGCCCTCCAAAAAGGGGGATAATGGAAATTGCTTTGGCTGTGGTCAGGCAGGACATTTAATACGAGACTGCCCACAACATAAAGAAAATAGACCTTTTTCAAAACCTCCTAAAGAACCTGGTTTATGTCCTAGATGTAAAAGAGGAAATAATTGGGCCAATGAATGCATATCTAAAAGGGATGTTATGGGCAATCCTATCCAGTCAGGAAATGGGCGAAGGGGCCAGCCTCAGGCCCCGTATCAAACTTTTGGGGCATTCAGGATCCGAACCCTCAGATCATCCCTCAAAATCAGTCAAAAAATCCGTTCAGGACTTATTCCGAGCCACCCCAGGCAGCGCAGGATTGGACCACGGTTCCTCCGCAGTTAACCCCTGCAATGGGAACGCAAGCCCTACCCACCGGAGTTTTTGGGCCGTTACCCAGGGGTACCCTTAGGTCTTTTATTGGGTAGAAGTTCCTCCACCATGAAAGGACTCATAATTTCCCCAGGAATTATCGATGAGGACTGTACTGGAGAAATTAAAGTTATGGTTTGTTCTCCTTCTCAAATTTCTGTTATTCAGCCTGGACAGCGCACAGCTCAACTGATCCCTTTACCCAGAATAGTTACCTCAGGGAAATATAAAAAGGCCATTAGAGGGAATAAAGGCTTCAGGTCCTCAGATGTTTATTGGGTGCAGGCTATTGGAGCCCATAGGACAGAGATAAAATTGTTAATTCAAGGAAAATCTTTTACTGGGTTACTAGATACTGGTGCTGATGTCTCTGTTATAACTGCTGACCAGCGGCCTTCCACACGGCCTTTGCAGGAGACTCTCTCAATTACAAGGCATTGGTCAAAGTAGAAACCCTAAACAAAGTACTGATATGTTAAAGTGGAGTGATTCTGAAGGACACTGTGGGACTTTTCAACCTTATGTTGTTCCTGGCCTCCCGGTTAATCTATGGGGAAGAGATGTCATGCAACAGATGGGAGTTTATTTATACAGCCCTAATCAAAAGGTCTCTACTCAAATGTTTGATCAAGGATCCTTGCCTAATGTTGGTTTAGGAAAGGAAGGTCAAGGAATTCAATTTCCTGTGACTCCGACAGCTCATCCTCCTAGACAAGGCCTGGGGTATTTTCCCTCGGGGTCATTGACATGCCTGCACCCCATGCAGATCCAATAGTCTGAAAAGATGAAAAACATATTTGGGTTGATCGATGGCCCTTAACTAGTGAGAAGTTAACAGCCGCCCGACAGTGCAGGAACAATTAGATAAAGGCCACATTGAACTATCTGTCTCTCCTTGGAATTCCATAATTTTTGTTATAAAGAAAATGTCTGGTAAATGGAGATTATTGCAAGATTTAAGAAAGATTAATAAAACTATGGAAATCATGGGAACATTACGACCTGGTCTCCCCCTTGCCTCCGCAATACCTAGAAATACTTTTAAAATAATTATTGATTTAAAGGATTGTTTTTATACTATACCTCTAGCCCCTACCGATTCTAAACGATTTCCTTTTAGCGTTCCTTCTGTTAATTTCCAAGGACCTGTGCAAAGGTACCAATGGAGTTTTGCCTCAAGGTATGACAAATAGCCCCATCTTGTGTCAAAAGTTTGTAGCGCAGGCTCTTTCCTGTGTTAGACAGTTATCCAGTCTATATGATACATGATATGGATGCTATCCTCTTAGCAAGTGAAGATGAATCATTATTGCTTACTGTATTTGCTCATTTGCAAAAGGTTTTAAATGGTTATGGACTGGTGATTGCTCCTGAAAAAATTCAACGGGAGTCTCCTTTTTCATATTTGGGATATCAGCTATATCCTCGAAAAATATTTACCCAAAAGTTACAGATTCGAAAAGATAATTTGAAAACTTTGAATGATTTTCAAAAAATTGTTGGGAGATATAAATTGGATACGGCCCTATTTAAAATTGACTACCGGAGAATTAAAACCCTTGTTTGACATCTTGCAAGGGGATCCTGATCCTTCCTCCCTCAGGACCCTCACATACGAAGGACGATTGGGTCTTCAAAAGGTGGAAATAGCTATTTCTAATCAACAGATATTTTATTTTGATTATCAAGAACCCTTAGAAGCTTTTATTTTTCTAACCAAACATTCCCCAACAGCTGTTTTGTGGCAGGACGGACCTTTATTGTGTTTACATTTATCTGTTTCACCCGCCAAAAACTTACAACCTTATGATGAAGCTGTTGCCCAACTTGTTCAATCAATCCGATGTAAGACTCGGAAATGCTTTGGTTTAGAACCTTCCATTACTGTAATCCCATTTACAGGAAAACAATTAGATTGGCTGTTTCAGATTTGTGATTCCTGGGCTATTGCATTTGCATATTTTTCAGGGCAAATTAAATTTCATTATCCACCTAATAAATTGTTACAATTTGCAAACCTTCAATCCTTCATTTTTCCAAAAATTATTTCATCTGAACCTATTCCTGATGCCATTGTAATCCTCTAATGGAAAAGCTGTTTATGTTATTGATGGTCATGAAAAGGTTTTTTCCACACCTGCCACTTCGGCACAAGTAGTTGAATTGCGTGCCATTCTTTTTGTTTTTCAGGAATTTGCCCATGTTTCTTTTAACCTATATACTGATAGTCAGTGTTTGGTTAAAGCCCTTCCTTTTTTAGAAACTGTGGCCTGTATTAATACCAGTAGTTTAGAAGTTCGACAACTTTTCATTCAAGTACAAAATTGTGTTCATGCTCGCTCTCTTCCTTGTTTTATTGGACATATTCGAGCACATACTGTTTTACCCGGTCCATTGTCTTTGGGAAAATCATCTTGCTGATGTTTCCACGAAATTTATTGCCCTTTCTAAAATTGACTTAGCTCGTCAGTCTCATCAGCTCCATCACCAAAGTAGTTGTACTCTTAGATGTCAATGTCAGATTCCCCGAGAAGCTGCCCGACAGATTGTTAAGCAGTGCTCCACTTACCCTCAGTTTTCTTCTGTTCCGCATTATGGTGTTAATCCTCGAGGTTTGCTTCCTAATCTACTATGGCAAATGGGTGTTACTCCTGTAGTGGAGTTTGGAAAACCAAGGTGTGTACATGTTGTCGCTGACACCTTTTCAGGATTTATTCTTGCTTCAGCTCACACAGGAGAAGCTACTAAACATGTTATTGCTCACTGTATATATTGTTTCTCCATTTTAGGAGTACCCCCAAAATAAACACAGATACTGGTTCCGGATATGTCAGTAAGGCCTTCAAAGGATTCT